AACACATACATTAATCAATCACCGTTTAAGTATACTTTATTGTATTCACTAACATTTGCTTGTTGTGTCAAATTAACATATTCTTTTATCCTCTGTTACGAACCATTTATTATTTTTTGTCACTTTCACTGCCGTATATAGAATGTAAAGAAATACATTCTCAAGTAAATGTTTTGTATTATATAAACATTTACTGATTAATTTAACTTGCTTTGGTAAAGTCTAGAAAAAAAGAAAATCCTAAACAATATACACAGTCTTACAGCTGAACAGTTGGTAACGGGAATGTCATGTCTACAGTTCTGATTTCAATTCCCGATAATTATAAAAGTCATAAAGTGTCTTGATTTAAAAAAAAATCGATAAACCAGACGCAAAAATGTGCCTTCTTGGATGACGTATATGATATGAAACTATAACCGCAACCTTATATGTCTGAGCTTCAGAATTATGTATCTGTTTCGTGATTGTTTTTTCTAATAGGCAAAAAGGCCAGCAGCCCTTTGTATGGACATACGCCGTCTACTTTTTGGGTCTAAGGTTTTCCTTCACCGTACGAGCGAGTGTTAAATGCACACAGAGACAGAAAGTAGATTAGTGCACAACCGGGTTTTGAAACTCAGGGATGCTCACATCCCGTGACTCTTCACACGCTGAAGCCATAAGACCAACACTGCTCTTGCCAATTATTAACATATACCTATAATATATAGCTCTAAATCTGCCCATACTTCGTCATTCATGAAGTCGCGTCAACATTTTTTTTATTGACATGAAGATGATCTACCATATTTGAGATACTATAACTAACTAAATTATACTTTAAAGTCCAGAACTATGTCCAAGAAAACCTAAATTAATAATGAAGGCATCGTTGTAATTTCGTCAGGATATGTAGGATGGGATGTGTAACAGTTCAAATGAAAGTAAAATAAACGCTGGGAAAAAATATTAATAGCATCCGAAGCTTAAGGCTTCTATAAATTGCTAATAGGAATTTGAAATAATATTATTACTGTGATTTTAGCAACACTTTCCTAATATATATTCATATATTAATCAAAACTTATTTTATCAGAATCAAACGTAATTCTTCTTGAAAGTACTTAAACAAATTTAATTTAAAAGTCTTATTAAGAAGATAATTTATTATACATACAATTTTTATATAGCCAAAGATATGATAATTATATGAATTTAATCGGCCAAGCATCGATTGAAAGCCAATATATACCCACATTTAAATTTGGAAACTTTTATATAATAAAGTCGTTGCATTGTTAAAAACAGTTAAGTACACAATTTTAATTTTTAGTATCTTTTGAGGGAATAACGGTAGCCCAAATTAAATCAAGGTAGTATTTAGTAATACTGATTAATTATTAAAAAAGTGTTTCAAACTTTATAATTTTCCATTTTGTTTCGGCATTTAAAACGTTTACTAAATGTATGTTTGGGATTGATGTTTATATGCAATAAATTATCTACGGGAAATGGTGACCTTCAAACTATAGATTTCACTTTAAAGTAGTATATCTGGTTTTTTCTATCTGAATATCTACACAGTTAAGTTATTGTAATTTCTTGGTTTGGTTATGATAATTTCTATTAAAATTAAAATATCTAAAATATATTTATTAATAATGTTAACTCTTCAGAAGTTTCATAGAACATTATTTTATCAACTTATCAAGTTACTTATATTTTTTTGAAGAACGTCAAATAGACGTGTTGTTTGGAGATTTTGCTATGGCATTGTAAAAATGTTCTTATTACCTAGTTTACAAATGAAAACTTAATATTGATGTAAAGTGTAAATAATGTTACCTAGATAAATAATTAGTCAAGAACTAATTTCGTACTTCATTCAAAATTTAAGTTCTTTTCAAAATTTTACTATGTCTCACATTTCTGTTATCGCTTCAATATAAAGTTCAATGAACGTTGTGAAGTTCAAAGTTGTTATTGTTAACGTGAAGTTAATATTGACTTATTTTTCATTATAAAGATCTCCTTTACGCTTGAGCTGATTACTTTTATTTTGCACTTTTGCTTTTTATTGATACTTTTTTTATATACTATTGAGATACATTTAAAATATACATTTAACCCCTAATTTCAAACGTACGAAAGCCTCAAATAGAAATGTATATTGTATCCTTATTCCTCATATTAAAATTTAAAAATAAATAAATGAGATAAAACAATCTGATATATATGAATAAAGTTCTAGAATATTTATTTATTTGTAACTTATTTGCGAAGAAAATACATCGTACGAGACTTGTATTACAATTACATCCGAGACACCATTTATTTACTATATAAAAAACAGATTACATAAATCAGCAACGGGTGGCCTGATAGCTAACAAACTATTTGTTCCAGGCTACCCTTACAAAACAAAATATTAACGAAAAACAATTGAGAAGTAGTGCCAGAGTTCGAAACTTAATTTACAATACAAAAATATAAAATTACCAAAACAGACCAAACTTACCTTTATCTGATTTTGAAAATATTATGATTTAATACTTTCGCAGAAAAGTGTAAATAAAGTAAATAATATAAAAGTTTCATAACATATTCTCCAGAACGTTAATTGATTAAACAAGAAAGTGTAAAAATTTTAAACCGAGAAAGGCTAATCACAAATAATGATAATGCACTTTAACTATACATGACTTGCGCATACAATTACTTGCCTATGCTCTCCAGAAACTAACTGAAGGAGCAAAGACGGATTAAATTTCATAACATTACCCAAATAGCAACATTTATTGGCAAAAATGTACTGATTGATTAAGTAGAAATCCCATCTAATTGTCTTAATACAATTTTTTTACAAATTTATCAATGATACAATCAGCTCTTTCAGTCATAATATCTTCGCCAAACGTCAGCATTATTGATCCATATAAAAAACTCTGCAAAAGCTGTAATAAGAATAACACTACATTATTGGTTTTATAGAAAAAAATATTAAAAAGAATTACAATAACCAATTCGACAACCCTTCCCGTAGGACTGACCTTTTTTCGTTTGTCTTCCACCTAAACGACTGTATAACAAACTTCCATTTCAAGATCAAATTCTAAATATCGCTTAATCTCATTTAAAGAAAGCGGTACAAACCAAAAAACATACATCATGAGATAAGTATGTTTGTTGGATTGGAATAAAAACCAAAATGACCCTCAATGTAAATGAAATCTTTTTTTATCTATAACAATATTCTATTAAACTACTACCTGTTGTGTACCAAAAAAAGGCTTAAATTTACTATGACAGGCAACGGGAAACTTATATAAATTATACAAACATTTTTTAGACACATTTTAAACTTTTAAATTTTAATACTTTAATCACAATGATACAAAAACAATTCACCCAGTATTGTAGAATGTTCTTCATTTATTTAATTAGCAGTCTATTCTTAATTAAAAATCTTATATAATATAGCAGTCATCCATTACAAAATTATTTATTAAAATTATATAAAACACGAATTTACCTATTATTATATTAATATTCAATCCCGTTACTCAAATTATACTTTAACGGTGCTATATATTTGTTTAAAACCAAATTTTTATGTTTTTTTTTAATTAAGGGGAATATATTTTCTAGGGTGCCTATCAATTTGCCATTATTTTTAATTAATTATTTTAATTCATTTTTGGTAAAAAATTTTTTTTTTTTTTTTTTTAATAAAAAAAAACCTTCCTCCCCGTTTTTTTTTTTTAGATTCTAAAACCACGGGTGCCGTTGCGCACCTGCCCACCTCTTTGCAGCAGTGTAAGAGATTTCGATAAATTTATACGTTTATAACCTATTTTTATGAATTATATGTCAAAAAGCTTAAATTTTTATTAATTATCATATAAATTTTTTTTTTTTTTTTTGCCCCCCCAAACAAGACAACTGCTTTTTTAGTAGAGTGAGAGAGTACTAACATCATTTGTCAGACGAGGACAGGATTGTCGGCTCAACGCCCCTTTTTCCAATTGCGCGCGCGCGGGGATTGGGGGTTTTTGAAAAAAAAACCAAAAAGCCCGGTTTAGGTCGGACCCCCCAACACCAAAACCCCCCAACCCCCAAAAAATTTTTTTTCCCCCCCCCCCCACAACCCCCCCCCCCCCTTTTCTCTCCCCCCCCCTCTCCTGATAAAAAAAAAAACCCCCCCCGGTTTCTTTTTTTTTTTTTTTTTTCGCGTTTTGGGGGTTTTGGGGGGGGGGGGGGGGGGGGGGGGGCGACTTTTTTTTTTTCCCCCCAAACCCCCCCGTTGGGGGGGGTTGGGTTTTTCAAAATTTTTTTTTTTTTTTTTTTTTTTTTTTTTTTTTTTTTTTTTTTTTTTTTTTTTTTTTTTTTTTGTTAAACTTATAAGATCAATTTATGTGACAAACAATTACTGTTAATAATTATAACATACCAAAGCCTAAACATACTTAAAAAATTTAAGACACATTTCAAACATTTACATTTTTATCACAATGATACAAAAACATTTTACCCAATCATAGACTTTTATTGAATGATTCTACATTTATTCAATTAGCAGTCAATTCATTAACTTCTTTTGAAAAAAATTTACAAAAACTAAAACTCACAATTTTACCACACCTCAATTCCTTAAAAAATATCGAATAATTTAATATTAAGTAATACTTAATAGAATATAATAAAAAACTAATCACGCTATTAATTATATTAATATTCAATCCGTGTACTCAAATGTTTATTTAAATGAAAGTATTAGACAAAAATTTCGGAACTTACGAAACAGTGACCCACGCCTTTTGATAATAACCAATATGTACAAAGCAAACTCATTTGCATACCCATTAGGGTCCGAACTGAATCGAAAAACTTAACCTAGAGAGGAAAGAAAATAGATAACGCTTGGTGGGGTGGGAGTACAATAAAACTGTATGCGACCATCGACAGCGAACCAAACATATCTCAACATCTCTTGAGAAAATTAATCCGGATAAAAAAAAATGAAATTCTCTTTAGTACTTCTTGCCGTAGTGGCGTTAGTTAGTGGAGATGAAAGTGATAATACAATGGAGACAGCCATCAACTTTATCAAGGACTGCAGGGGCGATTACTTCCTGTGTGTTAAGGTCAATATTTTATATTATAGTGAAAGTGATTAGTGAAACCTGTTTATAGTGACCGCGTTATTGAGTTATTATTTAGGCTCCATTGATTGTGACAGTGGTTTAGAATACGTGACTTTCTGATATAAAAATCCATCAATTTCTTTGTAGTAGTGTATATTTGACGACTTTATCATATCTTTCTTTATTTTCTTAAATTGTCTTATCATCCATAATAAGTATATATGATTCGGACAAGTTTTAATATAAATCTCATATAATATTTATACCTTGTACTTTACGTAATAGATAAATAAAATATGATGTTAAAACACATAGGTTTCGAACATATATATATATATATTAATCATATATTTATTTAACAGGAAAAAATGCTGAGAATTGTGGACAACGTGAGAGCTTCGCGGTCTATTGCAATTGTTGATGGAATTGTATTAAAGGGGGAACCTGCTTTGAGGTCAGCTAAACAATTGGAACCTCTGCCAATTGACCCTATCGCAAGAGACACAGAAGTCAACTATAGGCTTTTAGATGGAGTAGTCAACCTTTTTGAAACTCACGCCCTTGAGGTCAAAATGAACGAGGCTGATAAAGAATCATTCAAACGCTCCTTAGAAGAAGGTATGTTCAAAAACAATATTCGTTTACCTTAGCATAAATATCAAGACTGAGTTGAGTTATATTTTTGTTATTAGTATAACTTGAACCTAAAATCACTTATAATTAAAGTGGCTATCCATATTGTATGGAACATCTTTGTCATTGATGTTGTATTACTTGGTTTTTGCGAAATATCTATGCTAAAATTCTCTAAAATTTTATTTTGACATAAACCTTTATTCAGAATATAATTGTAATAAATATTATTAAATGTATATTTCTCTTACACAGGTCGTGGTAAGAAAAAAGGAGGCAGCGGAATGGGCGGTATCATCGGACTCCTTGGGGCTAAGCTTTTACTCGGAAAACTCTTCATCGTCAAGCTGATAGCTATCAAAGCTCTGGCCACCGCTAAAATAGCATTAGTCCTTGCTGTAGTACTTTTCGTAGCCTATTGCTTCAAACAGGACCACACTAAGACGACCTATGAAGTGGTGCCTCACGCACATCACCATGAGTCCCATCACCCAGTCCACGTTGAGCACGTTGCCCATGACCTGGGAGGACATGGTCAAGGCTACTCAAGCTACGGTTCCGACTGGAGCAAGAACATCGATGATGGCCAGAACCTTGCCTACTCAGCATACTCACCTCACTAAATTGAAATTGTTAAAACTAGACCAAATGATTCTAACCTCTGTTGTACAAAGACTTATTTATTAATTTATTTATTTAACTTATTCCGTATAAAATAAATTATTGCTCAATATATGCTTGTTCATTTTACTCAGTGATGAAGAAAGTGGGTAAATGAAAGGTAATAATAGTTTCTCTATAATGTATAGAACATGATATTATATTTTTAAATATGGTGAACAAACAACCCTAACAAAAAGCAACTTGCTATTATCAACGGAAAGTGAACGATAACAGAGTGACAGAAGTTTTATTTTTATTCTATAAATTTGCATTATTTTATAAAAAAGTTTATAATATAGTAATATGCAACTTTCATTTATATAAAGTTATACGTCATACTAATTATGATATAAACACAAAAATATAACTCATTCAATATTATAAAATTTTAGACTGTCTTAGAGTAATATTTTATAGTAACAAGCTTTATTGGTATTCAGTGCTTTATTATCGACACTTTTCTTTTAACTAATAAATTGCTGGAGTTTTTAGAACTTCCTAGACTAGAAATGTTGAATATCAGACGCTCTACTTTCAATGCATCGATAAAATTATCGTGACCAAGCGTTAAAGAAACTTCACATCACGTTACTATTAGACTTTGATGTCACTAATCATAACGCTTATCCTACTTTGCATTTATGAAATCTTTTATTAATCTTATTCGGTTTGCAATATTTCTGCTTAATTTGATATCATAGAAAATTATATTTTGTGCTACTGGCTCACGCCAATTAACTGCGAAACCAAACGGAACGTGTCGTGTTGTATGAAAAATGTTTCAGCGACGAATACGCACAAATATTTAACGCGTTTAATACTTTATCAATCTCATGCGAGAGTAGTATCTCTAGACTAAGGGTTTAAAGTCTAATTGCTGCTACATGGCGTCTCAGTAAGTCAGTTTGTTGATTTACATGACGATGCATTTAGAGTACAAAACCAACAAGGATCTAAGTCGGTAGCTCAAGTCTAAGCGTCTTGGTCAGCAAGGTGGACTGGAGCGGACTATCTTTTTCGACCGATTTCTGTCCAGCCTTGCGATTCTGTAACTCACTTTTCGAACTCTCACAGCGGTTTTCGTACCGGCGGTCGCGCTCAAATCAGTCGTGAAGCAGTCATTTTATGACTTTGCATTCTGATAAACAATAAACTACAAGCTCCCTCCTTATTATAGTATAAAGTTTTAAGGACGACGAGTCTTTCACTTGATCGGTCTCTGTTACCAACCACGATCAGTTTCTCTAAGTTCTTATTGCCTCTGCGCATTGTATGGCCGAAATGATATCGCTATACATTCTGTCAAAAAAGGATCATGAGTTGATCATTTGTTTTCATGCGTTGACATAAAGGTATCCTTTCTGTAGTAGAATACTTTGAGATGTGTAAATTCCACAACTTATTTTACAAGATAATTAAAAAACGCCCACTCTCTGCCACAGCCTAAGTCATATATCATAATTAAGAAAAATTTCGCTTTTTTGTTGCCATGCTTCGGTAATCTTAACGCTGAACGGAAACTAAAACTTTACTTCCGTGTGAATTGTAATTAGGTGTTTTTTTACTTTCGAATCTTAAACAAGTTTTAAACTTAGATCGAACGCGTTTTAATTGAGATTTTACTGATGTTTGTCATGATATTTTTGTCTCTTTGAAGCTTTTTGTTACTGTCTAAGCAAGTGTAGTGTGGGTTAGTGATTTTAGTATAGTGAAATATATGGTTAGGTGAAAGCTCGATGAGAGTCGTTTACTTAATCGAAAGCTTACTGTCGTATGCTTCCTGTAGTCAGTAAGCTAATCGTCATTAATTTTCATAGCTGAGTGTATCTTAAATATATAATTATATGTTTTTTGCTCCAAATTAATGGACGTTGCAGTACGGCTTTTATATATTCTTGGTGCAACCTGATACTTAAACTGTAACTTTACATTTTTTTTTTGAGGAACAAAAACATATTCAACACATAAATTATATATAATAAATATACAAAAAATATATCATAAAATCGTGTCATTCATACAGTTAGAACCAGTTACATACAAACAAGAAACCTGTCCAAGTGGAATGCGATGTGTGGATATAAAAACGAAAGCGTTAATCTAACCTTCGCCCTATACTAACCGTGTTAGTATAGAAATTGCTTGTTCGACTTAATTTTAGTAATATGTATTTTTATAGCAGAAGGAAGTTCCTATGAAGCTAAGTGATACTGCCGCCTATGGACACTCAGAACTAGAAGACTCCTGAGTGCGTGGATTTTTAGCAATAGGTACGCTTTTTCCTTAAATGGCCCTCTCGCATTGAGAGTGTCCATGGGCGGCCTTTTCACTTAACAACTTGTGAGCCTGTTAGATCCTGTCTATTTGCCCCATGTTGCGTGTTGTTCTCACGAGAATGTAAGTGCGTGCTCTTATTTCACCATGCCTCATGGAGGACAAATCTTTGTTTTTTATTAATTAAAGCTATTAATTACTTAAGGTGTCACGTGGAACAAGGTGTAATAGTCAAAACTCCTTACAAACATTGTGTAAATTAAAAAAACCTTAAAATAAATAAAATTAAGAAATGCCTTTAATTTCCCACTTAAATTAATATATAACAAACAATAACATATTGTTACATATTATTATACATTTAAGATTAATCAAATTAAGTAAAGATTTAGAAATCCGTCGCCAGAATTTGATGATACTGATAATATGTAGGTGTCTCGGGGACCTTGATTGGAACACCTCTAAGTGATTTTTGCTGTAGGAGTTTAATACTTAGACGCAACTCCGGGCGACGTAATTCTAAATCCAACCCTCAAATTATAAGGCACCTGAAGCCAGTATGGACCATCAGTTTTGGAAAGGTCGTCCCCCATCTTATTAGAGGTCGTCCTTTGCGTCGTTTGCCTTTTGGCAGATAAGGCCTTCTACCTTATCTGTTGATATTTTTAATAAATGAATTCTATTGTACTAAAAATAGAGGCAACATAATAATTTTTTCAAATGATTTTTTTAATATGCTTAATATTTCCTTGACACAGTAAATACTTTCCCCATACGGAATCCACAAATGTTTAGAGGACCCTAAAAAACTCTCTCTGCAAAGTTTACTTATGTTTCGTATGTTTATGTTTGTTTCGTATGTTTATGTTTGTATATGATTAAAGTCGAGAAATCTTAAGCACGTGGTCAAACAGAACTGGTTTATCGTTCATTAAGGCTTTCTATCGCGAGTTATTTATTAAATTTCATAGGTTTGCTCGGTTATGTGGTTTGCAGGTGCAACCTGTAGATTGGGATTTTATTACTCAGGTCTAAGAACGGTTCTGATACGATAACTTTAGATATAATCAAAGCACCTTGTTCCTCAGCTCCTATTGATTTTTTGGACCGACATCCACGCTTGGTTGGTCATAATTTTTAAAAGGAATTTGTCTGGTGTCTTCATATAGATCTACATGTAACTTTTGAATAATGCCATTGTCGAAAGTTGTCACTACTAATTTGATTATTATTTCATAAATATATGTGTTACAAAAATTTTATAACAGACGGTCGTTCGTTTAATAACTATAATTTCTTAATGTACAATAAACAATTCATCATGTTATATGTCAGATGTCATATGTCAACTATCAAAATGGACTTAAAAGATATTAATGACTAGATGTCATTTGGAAGAAGTTTTTCACAAGATTATAAACTTAGAATCTAAAGCACTATAGCCGCATAAAAAGCTAGAGTCAAAAATATCTTTGAATTAAAAAAAGTGGATAGTACATAGTGCAAAACCATTACACGTGTTATGATAATTGGTTTGTTTGATTAAAATCCGTGTAAAGTTTCATTAAAGTGATTTAAGTTCAGTCTTATTTCAACATTTCGCAAAAAATTTGAAATATAATTTAATTTTAAATGTAAAAACAACGGATGACTAAATTTGATTTAGCTGAAGGGAAAATGTAAGACAACACTGATCATTTGATTACACCACTTATAAATTTCTACTTTCACGAGATTTTATAGAGTAGAAGTGAGTTGTGAGTTTCCTTACGTCATAATAAAATATGATTTCTAAAATCGTGCTACAGTTTTAAATTTCATCATAACAAAATTGTTACCACGAAAAAGGTTACCAACCTTTCATAGGTTTTTATAATAAGCAATATACCAAACTAAGTAAATTAAATTTCATACATAAAAGATTACGGCTTTAACTTATATGGCGACATTACACAAGATCCAATAATAGACAACTTTCTCGTGTTATTAACCTGTATGGGAAAGTAACATAAATCAATCGTCATTGTTTGGATGAGATAAGATTCACGTTAGTGAGAGCAATAACCATAGTGTTATAGAGGTTACTGAATAAGTGAGCCACAGATTATAGTCTTGTCATTGTCACTTTTAGGTACCATAGATATGCACACCCAATTGTAGAACGGTGTAAAAGGTATATGAAGTTTACATTAGGACACTTTGTAAAACGTATAATATTCATTAAATTTAATATGAATAATCGTATATCGATAAGATATAACAAATCAAAAAGTTATCTTAATTTTTGCAAATAATAATTTTTGACTAAATATTAATTACATTTACACGTAGGACACCATAATGTCCTATAAATTTATTCTATTTATTAAACTATATTTGTCTTGGCAATTTCTGTCCGCAATAACCTTCACAGCAATCAAATATCGTTGATTGCGTAAACAATTTGCAGAGACATTCAATCTTTAGAAGTGATTATTAGAGTGTTAATTTTCATCTTTGTATTATCTAGATACAAACTTAAGGTAGTAAAGTTGTAGTCTAGTAATAAACTGTTATAGTATCTCTATTCATAAATGAAAAGAAACAAATCCTGTTAAGTTATTTTACATAATATTGTTGTATGAGCTAGCGCACGCAGCGTTTACAAAGGTCGTTTATATAACCGCAATAGTTCAAGTTCAGGTAT